CAAACCACAAATATGAAGACGGAAGAGCTACCGCTGGTGGTGGGAAGAGGGAGAAAATGCAAAGAGAAGTGTGAGATTGAGAAAATGTTTCTGGTCTTTTATCCAGTCCCAGAAATCCCTCACTACACCCAAAGGGCAGATCCCAGTCGGTGGGTGGGAAAGACTGAAGGGGAAGAGCCAGGAGGGCTCTATTGTTTCCTAGGTGACAGTGTTCTGTAACATGCTGTGTATTTTTTTTTATTTTTAAAGATTGTATTTATTTATTCATGAAATACACAGAGAGAGGCAGAGATATGGGCAGAGAGAGAAGCAGGCTCCCCACAGGGAAGGGGGGGCAGTGATACAGGACTTGATCCCAGGACCCCAGGATCATGACCTGAGCCAAAGAAAGATGCTGAACCACTGAGCCACCCAGGTGTTCCCCATGCTGTTTTTAAAGGCCCAACTCAAGTTAGTGCTTCAACACAAATATTGCAAGAGAACAGCCCAAGCAGAGCACCCAGACGAAGACAGGATGAAGGGGTCACAGACTAACGTGAGCTGAAGACAAGACGCAAGCCCAGGGTCAGGAGGAGCTTAGGCAGGACCTCCTCGTGCAGGACCAGCAAAGCCAGCCCTCTAGCCCACCTGGCCAGGTGCCCAGGCCTTACAGCAGTGGTCTCCACACGAAGGACACACCCCAGGAGCAGGCCAGGGGACTGCTGGGGTTTAGGAAGAAGAAACTAGAATCTCTATTTGTATTTACTTTTTTATCTTGACAATAAGTTAACTTTAGCTGAAAGTTCAAATATAGCTCGACCCTCGCTGCACCTACCATCAGAAGTCCCATGCTGCTTTTTCAGTGTAGCGAGTGTACTGCATCTCCTCTATTCCCGGGCATGTGGATTTACCTACTACATAGCTCTCATTGAGCCAACCCTCTTCAATGGCCTAAGTGGCTTTAAAAGACTCTTGCAAAGAAACAGCAGACTGAAGATGATTCATAGGAGGCAAGCGGGAATGAGCAACAGGAGCTGATACTTCTACTCCCAATAAAAGCTACTCATCAGCCTTACAACAAGGAAAAACAGTAACATCTGCCAAGAAGCGAGCTTCCAAATCAGAAACTTTCATGAAGATACTCCGTAGTAGGAATCTGTGCTCATCACAGTTAACAATGAGCCTCTTCCTATTTAATGAAAACTGTGAAGCCACCATGGTTAGCAGAGGCTACAGACCCAGAAGATGGCAAGCCTCCACAATGTTTCCAGTTAAGTTACCATTATAAAATACTAACTCCAACACATTTTCAACAATGTTCACTAAATATAATCATAAATGTTTATAAGTCTTTTAAGAGCAAAACACAAACAGGTACACACCATCTACAAAATACTTGTTCTTCCTGCCGCAGGACTATGGGTGACATACTCATCAAACAGTTGATGGGATAAAACCCTGAAAAAAAACATCTTTTACTGGGTAACGGGAAAAAACACAACCCAAAGAAGTAAGTTCAGGGATACGTTTCTCAAGGTGGGCAGTTGGGTAAGGGGACAGAAGTTTCTGGCACATCCCAGCTTAGAGAATCATCACAAGAAGCATGAATGAAAAGTTGAGGTATTAAAGGCATTAAAGTCATGAGGAGGACAGGTGCCTCAGAATCTGTCAACACGTTAACAGTGTTTTAGGACAAATGACGTATGCCTAGCTGGGATGGGATTCCTCTGGCTGGCACCTGTTTGTGACAGAGGGCAGGGTGGACCACCATGAAAGGCTCAGCCACAGCATCACCCCGTAGTTCACAGACAAGAAATGCACCATGTGATGGGCGGTATCATGATTCCATCACATTGAGCTCTTGAAATGAACAGAGTATTTACAATACTGTATGGTAGGAGAGACTCATGAAAAGTATTTTGGTTCACCTACATTTTTCTATTTCAGGGTAAAATACTTCTCTAAAAGAGCCAGGAAGCTTCAAGATGAGTTTGCGTATATTTCTTATACAAAGGTGACTGTTCCACATTTTCTGACCTTTCTGTGGCCCACTCCCTAGGCATGTGCCGCCACAGAATAAATACACCTTATCTGAATCTTGTGGGTAGAAGGCATGCTCCATTGATGAGACAGGACGGAATGTCTTATGATACACACAGCGCACAGTAGAAATGGTGATTTGGAAAATTCTCATTATGTGATCACCCTGCTGTCACAGACGATGCATGGCACCTATAAACACTTCCACATCTGTGCAACCAAAAAACCTGGAAGCAAAATTTTTCTAGCTTGGTTTAAAACCTTTCAAGACTTCCAATAGGTTTTGAACCCATCTGCTAACAAAATAAATGTGTAGCGTCTTCTGATTAATAGGCAGGAATGATCCACATCAAGAACATGGGTATCCACCATTTGCTTCGACGTGGATGGAACTGGAGGGTATTATGCTGAGTGAAATAAGTAAATTGGAGAAGGACAAACATTATATGGTCTCATTCATTTGGGGAATATAAAAAATAGTGAAAGGGAATAAAGGGGAAAAGAGAAAAAAATGAGTGGGAAATATCAGAAAGGGAGACAGAACATGAGAGACTCCTAACCCTGGGAAATGAACTAGGGGTGGTAGAAAGGGAAGTGGGGTGGTGGGTGGGGGGTGACTGGGTGACGGGCACTGAGGGGGGCACTTGATGGGATGAGCACTGGGTGTTATTCTATATGTTGGCAAATTGAACACCAATAAAAAAGTAAATTTATTTAAAAAGAAGAAGAACATGGGTATTTACTAGACCGATTTCAATAAAAAAAAAAAAAAGACCTCTGCAAAATTACTAAACAGCATCAGAAATTTTAACAAGTGCAGTCGTGCTTCCGTATGGATCTGCTTATCTCTGGAAGGTATCATTTCCAGCTATAAAAGCCCTTAAAAACCAACACTGGAATAAAGTGAAATTAGAACCAGACGTTTCAACCATTCCAAGGGAATTAAATAAGGTTTTCAAAAACAGTACATTTCCAAAAACTTTCCATCACTGCTTTCCCTTTTAGAAATTAAGTACATCCAGATTACAGGTAACAGACCGTCTTAACCATATCCTCTTCTTTCACTTGTGCATGAAATGTTATCCAGAAAAGAATTTGTTGTTTATTTTTAGGCATAGAAACCTACATTTGGGGAGGAGGCTCCCAGGCATGAGAGCTCACCCCTCTGAGGGCAGGAGGCCAGGAGGGACGATGACTGTGAGATGCGTGAAGCGGGGTGTGCACAGGCCGAGCATGGACCGAGGGGGAGGGCCACGCAGCCACAGTGACACTGTGCTCTAGAATGACCCAGCCCAGAGGCAAAGCTGAAAGGGCAGCAGATAGCGGCCAGCATAAACAACAGTGAGGGCACAACACAGCCAGGGCAGCCTGCACACGAGAATTTACTGGCTATTTATTTTGTGCTGGGGGCTTTCAGTGAGCCCCACACCTGGCAGCGTATGTGCCCATGAGGAGGAGATGAGCGTGCAAGCACATGATTAAAATGCAGCGTGACAAACTGAATGTCAATGATCTCTGGAATAAAAAAACGGAGAACCGTGACCAGGACCTCGGCTTCTGCATGGAGCCGTCCACACCTGGAAACATGCATCGCTCCCACGTTAGCGGGAATGGTGACTAAACATTCTTGGTTACCATCTGCTGGGTGGACTAGACTCCACAGTTTACCTTGTCAAATTACACTCAGTGCTAGGGCAGGGCAGGAATCGAAGAGAGACTTTGGGGCTCTGCTCTATCTCCAACTCCCCAGTACAAAGAACCGTCTCTGTTCAGAGCTACTACCTGGACTGTCCCCTTGTTCAGGCCCCAGACCATGCTGGCTCACTTCTGGGCCTTGAGGCCTTGTATTCAGCCTCTGCCGATGCCCTGATGGGCATTACCTGCATCGTCGGGGATTTTTTCCTCCCCGATACCCTCTGCACAATGGGTCACTGCTCATTCCTAATCACTGTGTTCACTGTTGCCAGGTGGGAGGCCTGTACCCCTCTGGCCTTGCTGAATCTCAGAATCGCACATTTTAAAATATTTTTTACTTTTACACACAGAACACCAAATCATATGCTATTATCCAGAGAACATGGATCCATGCCTTAAATGGAACACTTCTGCATGTTCAATGAACTCATTCACACAGATCCTCAGACACCGGCCATATGTGCAGGTGTTTGTTAAGAATGAGAAATGCTAGCATCATCCCTCCTCTTTGGAGCTCACAATGGATGTGTACGGCAGGAGGACAGGAGGATGTGGACCAGGGCTGTTTGTATAAGTGCAATGACACTAACTCTGCCCAGGAGCCTCTAGGAGAACCTCACGGAAGAGGTAACCCTAAACTGAGTCTTAAAGGAGAGATGGGAGCTTCAGCTAGAGAGGAAAAAGGGCACCATGGCTGGCGGCATAGGCATGCCCACAAGGCACAAGGAGCAAGAGACACCCATGCTGCTCAGGGGGGAGATCTCCATCAGTGAGGGGGAAGGACCTCCAGCCACAGGAGAAGCATCCAGCCATACCCCACTCCCCGGGAGGCCCCCAATGCCCCCTGAAAGCCTCCAAGCAGGGCTGCTGCCCCATCGGATTCACGCTCCACAAGGTCACTTAGATCATTTGGGGAACAGAGTGCAAAGCGCCAGTCTGCAGGCAGCAGAGGCCAGATGAGAGTCGCCTGCTCACTTGGCCCAGAGACGCCAGAGCCTGGACACAAGGACAGACGGACAGGATGGGATAGGACCTGGTAAGGGATGGATGTCAGCAGCACTCGGATGGCAAATGCCACAGGACCGGGTGCAGGCAGTGTGGGGCGGGGGGGTGGGGGGGGAGCACAGTGTCCAGGAAATCTCATGGGCTTCTGGTCACGAGCAAACCTGCCGCACAAAATCACCACTCCCTCGCTGTGATGCCATCTGCCAGCGTGCAGCCCACGGCACATTTCATTTCCAAAGCAGACACCACAAGCAAACAAAGAATCGCTAACAGACAGAATATCAGATCGTCAACTCATAATTAACTGACACACGGCACAGCAGAGACAGAAGCAGAGCATTTAAATCATCTGAGGGTCCGGTCCACTAACCGTCCAAAGCTACAAAGCATCGGACACAGAATCTCAGGGTGAGCAGATAAAGTCATGATGAAGCCCTAGAATATTCTGGGGGAACCCTGTACACAAACACATGGACAGATCCTCAGCCGTCTGCCAAAAGCTGACCAGGCCCACGACGGGACTTGCCGAGACCATGTCCAAGCGGCTGGGTTCATCTTGCTCTCACACTCAGGGCAGACCACAGCACCTCACAAACAAGGGGCGTGTGCTGCAGGAACACGCCTGTCACGTTGACCAGAGAGATGGCTGCAGGTCATGTGGTCCCCACCCCCATGTTCATTCACAATCTACCGCTGATTTTGGAGGGTGATTTAACATCAGGTGTTTTGCAGATAGGCAAGCAGCCAGCAGTCCATATTCACACTGATGCCCCGACCAGGGGAGAAGGGACAGACTAGCTTTTCTCTGGGGCAAAACCGTGATGTCAGCTGCAGGCATCAGGCTTTATGTCGAGGACTCTTCATATAGGACTTCATCAACCTTCATGTCATTCTCGTCCACAGGGACCTGGGGGCAGATCTGCTCTCGGAAGGCCAAGGCCATGGTGTAGGGCGGCACGTCCTGCTGCTGCAAACAGCGCCTCAGGTATGCATCGTAGTAGCCTCTGCCCCGGCCCAAGCGGTTGCCGTGCTTGTCAAAGCCGAGACCCGGCATGAAGATGAGATCCAATCCGCCTGTGGGAGACAAGGACATAGTGAAGAAGGTGAATGGTCCCTGAAAGAGACGACCCCTCGGGAGTCTGGGTTCCACTCTGGAATGGCATCGATCCCCTCTCTGATTGCTAAAGAAATGTGTGAGCACTCTAGAAAATCCAACACGTACAGAGCCAGACAGAGAAGAACGTAACACCCAGCACCCCGCATGCCCGTCATCCATCCCTCCCGACGTTCTGTGTGTACCTTGAACAACATGGGTCTGTCCTGTGGAAGTCGTTATACAGAAATGTTTTCACTACAGAACAGTGCCATACACATACCCCCCTCTTCCTGAGACTTTCCTAATGTTTCTCTTCCTACAGCTTATTTTATTCTAAGAACACAGTACGTGACACAAATAGCATACAGAATATGTGAGCATCAACTGTTCACATCACTGGCAAGGCTTCTGGTCACCAGGAGCCCATCAGCAGGTTAGGTCTGCAGGAATCAAAGGTTGCACATGGATTTTCGACTGCATGTAGGGTTGGCACCTCTATCCCCCAAGTAGTTCAAGGGTCATCTATATGTAGAAAATCATCAGGTTCCCAGAGCCCGTCCACACCTAAACAGAATCTCCAAGGACAGAGACTAGGAACTTTTAATCTTTCTTTCAAGAATCCAGGTGATCCGGGGCACCCAGGTGGCTCAGTGGTTGTGCGTCTGCCTTTGGCTCAGGGCATGATCCCGCGATCCGGGATCGAGTAATACATTGGGCTCCCTGCAGGGAGCCTGCTTCTCCCTCTGCCTCTGTCTCTGCCTCTCTCTCTCTGTATGTGTGTCTCTCATGAATAAATAAATAAATAAAATCTTAAAAAAAAAAAAAAGAATCCAGGCGATCCTACCTATCTGCCGGGTTAGAGAGCCAATGTCCCAGCATAATGACAAACGGAGGAGGGAGAGAGGGTCAGAAAGAAGCCAGGAAGGACGGAGCTGTTCTCAGAGGCAGTGAGCAAAGCAGGTTAGCTGCTACGAGCACCAAGGTACCCACTTCATTTCCCCTCCCGCTGGAGAGCCAAGGCCTGCCAGGTTGCCAGCTTCCCTGGATTCACATGAGAGCAGGCTGAGCCAGCCAGGGACATTCCAGAGGTACACATGGGGCCCCCTAGCTGTCCTCTGGCTGGAACCCTCCCAGGGACACAGGGACCATCAGATGATGCTCTGTAGCATCATCAAGACAGAGCAGGTTGCTAAGGCTCAGGGCATGAGGCAGGGTCTTGGAGGCTACAGAGATCTGACCGCAGTGGAAGGTGTGGGGAGCCTCATGAAGAAGGCGGCAAAGATCACAAGGTAGAGAACCTGCATGGATTTTGTGAGGCCCACAGAACAGCCCTTCTAGGCTCTAGCAGGGAGCATGACGGACCAGCACTAATCATGAGCCACACCACATGTCCAACTCAGGGCTGTGCCCAGCAGCCTTCCTCTGCCAGTCCTTGGCCTCTGGAAAGCCACCTGGGGGCTTCTGGGGGACCCGAAGCTTAGCATGGATGAAGCTCTCACATAGCACTGCTGCCAAGGACATACCAGGGCTGGGAACGGGTTTTCAGGGTAGCGGTGTTCATACTGCCAGCTAGGCCGGCCCCCCGCCATCAACAGCTGCTCTGAGTCCCTGCAGAAGTGCGAGCTGAACCCGGCACACACCTGCTGGCCCGTGCCTGCCAGAACCCAGCAGAGCCCACCTCAGACCACAGTCCTGACCTTCTGTGAAACCTGCTGGTCTCTTCCAACCCAAACCCTGGTCACTGACCTTTCCCCTCCCTGACCCTGTCCTGCTCCTTTTTCTCTCATGGGATTAACAGCGGCTTGTGCATAGAGACTTTGCTGGCTCCGGGTCCTTTTTGTTGCCGAGCAGACTTGGGCTGGAAGCTCAGCTCTGTCGTCTGTACAGCATACGCACACACGTTTTTTTCTGAGACTCCTGCCTCTTTAGAGTCCATCAGGGCAGTTTCTGTAAAGTCCTCCGGGGGCATGCTTCCTCCCCCTCTAGGGAATGGGGCTCAGCTAAAATAAAGCAAGCATGTGTGTAACACCTATTCCAATGCATGGCATGCTCTGCCAACTGCCCCAAAGCAACAGGACAGGAAGCTCTAGAAGGCTTCAACAGAGGGAGAGCCCACCTGGCTGGCTGGTCAGGGAAGGGCTTGTCAGAACCTGGTGGGACCAAGGCTTGCATGAAGGTGCCAAAACTGGGTTTGAGTACGTTTCAGAGAGTAAGGAAAAGGTGGCAGGAGCAGAGTGACAAGGAGGGAACAGTCAGGGTGGAAGGACCCCGCTGAGGATCAGAGAACGTGCAAGGCAGCCAGATCAGGGCATGAGGATATGGAAGGTACAGGCCAAGTGATCCCCACTGCTCAATAGCAAAATGACAACACCAGATTCAACAACCTAAACTGACAATTCTCCAGAGAAGACCAGCAATGGCCAACAGGCATAGGATTCCTGCGGATGAATTTTGTATCCTGTGACCTTACTGAATTCCATTATCGATTCTAGCAGCTTTCTGGTGGGGGTCTTTAGGACTATCTATATACAGTATCAGGTCGTCTGCAAATAGAGGAAGTTTTACTACTTCCATACCAATCTGGATGCTTTTTCTTTTTCTTCTCTAACTGTAGTGGCTAAAAACCACTCAGGACTATGCTGAATAAAAGTGGTGAACATGGACATCCTGTCTTGTTCCTGACTTTGGGGCAAGCTCTGGTCTTCCCCTTCAACTGTGATGTTGGCTGTGGGTCTCTCCTATACGCCTTTACTATGCAGACATATGTTCCCTCTGGACCCACTTCGTTGAGAGCTTTCATCATAAACAGATGAATTTTGTCAAATGCTTTTTCTGCAACTATTATAATGATCATGACTTTTATTCTGCATTTTGTGAACGTGTGTGCCGTGGTGACGGATGTGTGAATATTGAGCCATCCTTACCTCCCTGGGAAATATCCCACTTGACTGTGGTGAGTGACCCTTTAAACATGTTGTTAAATGTGGTTTGCTAGCACTTTGCTGAGGATTTTTGCTCTGTGTTCATCAGGGGCACTGGCCTGTAATTTTCTGTTTGTTAGTGTCCTTATCTGGTTTTGTTGTGAGGGTAAATGTTGCCCTCATGGAATGAATTTGGAAACTTTTTTTTTTTTTTTTTGGAATAGTTTGAGGAGACTAAGGATTAACTCTTCTTTAAATGTTTGGTAGAGTTCCCTTGTAATCCATTTGGCCCTGGACTTCTTTGGGAGTTTTTTTGGCTTTGATTTTTGGTTGTTTTTTTTGTTTTTGTTTTGTTTTTGAAGTAGGTTCCATGCCTAGAGTGGAGCCCAACCTTGAGCTCAAGACCTGAGCTGAGATCATGAGTCAGACGCTCAACTGATTAAGCCACCAGGCCCCCCTGTTGGGAGTTTCCTGATTACCAATCCAATTTTGTTACTAGTAATTGGCCTGTTCAGATTTCCTGTCTCCCCGATTCAGTGTAGGAGCCAAGAGGCACATAAAAGGATGTTCAGCATCACTCATCATCCAGGAAATGCAAATCAACACCTCAATGAGACACCACCTCACACCTGTTAGGATGTCCATTAAAAAAAAAATAATAAAAAATAAATAAATAAATAAATAAATAAATAAATAAGTAAGTAATAAATAAGTAAGTAATAAATAAGTAATAAATGTTGGTGAGGCCTATGGAGAGACTGGAACCCTTGTATGTTGATGCTGGGAATATAAAAAGGTACAGCCACTATGAAAGACAGTATAAAGTTCCTTAAAAAAATTAAAAGTAGGGATCCCTGGGTGGCGCAGTGGTTTGGCGCCTGCCTTTGGCCCAGGGCGCGATCCTGGAGACCCAGGATCGAATCCCACGTCGGGCTCCCGGTGCATGGAGCCTGCTTCTCCCTCTGCCTGTGTCTCTGCCTCCCTCTCTCTCTCCCTCTCTCTCTCTCTCTCTGTGACTATCATACATAAATAAAAATTTTAAAAAAAAAGAAAATATAAAAAAAATAAAATAAAAAATAAAAAAAATTAAAAGTAGAACAACTAGTAGTCCCATTTCTGGGGTATTTAGCCAAAACACCCCTGAAATCTGTATCTTGAAGAGGTATTTGTACACCCATGTTCAGAGCAGCCTTACTCACAGTAGTTCAGAGGAAGAAACATCTCGATGTCCACTGATGGATGAATGGATAAACACAATGTGGCACATCCACTGGAATACGACTCGGCCATGAGAAAGAAGGGACTCCAGTCAGTCACCTGCAACAGCCTAGAGGAGCTCTGAGTACATCAGGTGAAGGGAAATAAATCAGGTGCAGGAGAACAAATGCTGCATGAGTCACTCACAGGAGGCACCTGAAGCAGCCAAACCCCCAGGAGCAGAACATACTGCAGTGGCTGCGGGAGGCTGGGAGGAGAGATGTGGGCTGCTGTGGGCACCAGCGTCAGCAGGGCAGGATGAGGAGATACAGCAAAGGTCTGCTGTCCAACACCACACCCACAGGCAGCATGCACTGCACACCTACATTTTGTTAACAGGGTGGATTTCATGTTATATCTACCACATTTTTTTCCATAAAAAAAGGCAAAGATACTAAAGGAAAGCCAGGAGGAAACTGGGATTTCTACCAGTCAATACACAAAAAATGGATGGTAGAATTTCAGAGGACACACCTCCAGGCCGCCAGAGGAAGAGAAGGAAGGAAGGAGACAGACAAGAAAATATCCATTTCTAGTCCCTCACAGGACATGTCTCTGTCTGTCCACCCCACCCCACCCCACCCCCGCCCCAGAATCTCTGCGACCGCCACAACGCTGTCCAAGGTACCCTTCATGCATGAAGTCTGAGTAAGACTTCTAGGTCAAAGGAGGCCTGAGAGACACGTCTATCCTCTACAAAACGGGCCAACCTGAGCATGGGAACCCCTGATGTAGCAACTCCAAAGTCTGGGTTTGGATCAAGGAGGCAACATCATGGGATGAGATGGTGTAAGTGTTAC